ATTTTTAACAGTTTCCATGGAAACACAGCTGACAACAATGATTACTGGCGCAGTTGATGCAATATTGGTCACCAGGCCTAAAAAGCGATTCACGACAAATTTGAAGGACATTTTATAGTTTAAAAATCGACTAAAAACCAACAACACAAAATTATTTTGTTTCGATTTTGGTTCCGTTGAGTAAACTGTTGGTGAAAAAAAACTTCAAGAGCATTTATAAAAAAAATTGTTGTGGACACAAAATGGACACCCCCGATGGGACTCGAACCCACAACCTTTGAATTAGAAGTCCAACGCGCTGATCCATTGCGCCACGGGGGTATACCACAACTCAGGTTGTATATTTCTTGTATTTATATCGCACTACAAACCACTGACGATTTGTATAGTCAGTAGCATTTATATGCGCGTATTTACAACACATCATTTTAATATAAATATATGGGCCATATATTATTAATTCGTGATACACGCAATAAATATCAGTATATTACTAATTTCAATACGAGAATTTCAATATAGCAAGAATAAAATCTTTATAATTGTGAAGTCTGACTGCGCTAATACATTACGCCACGGAGGGTTCGCGCGCCGCCATTAGGCTATATTTTGAGTATACTATAAATTTTGGAGTTGTCTAGTAGAGTAGTAGGGTGATGATAAACAAGGATACGGGTGACAGATTCACAACTCGTACGTGCCCGTGCAGACTGTAACACCAGATTGGTATAATCATAGGTATAATCGACGTATACACCGAAGGCGGTGGACGAACCCCCGTGGCGCAATGATTTACCGCGTTGGACTTCTAATTCAAAGGTTGTGGGTTCGAGTCCCATCAGGGGTGTCTTTTATGTTGCGACAAACATATTTTACAATTTTTCTTCTAAAAACTCTTTAGTGTCCGTCACAACCAACAACACACACCCCCAGGTCCTTTTTAACATACAAGCTGGGGGCATTTGCCCCCCAGTCCCCCCTTGTGCCCCCCACGAAATCACATTTTGCCCCCCCCCCCAGGAAAAGTCCCTTTTTCCTAAATTTATACCAACAAAACAGCGAAGAATAACAAATAAATAAACGGAAAGTAAGTTTTAGGCTTTATCCTTTGTCCTTGTTTAACAAAATCAATCTAAATTGTTACGTTTTTCTACCACTAAGTAATGATAAATTATTGTTAATAATTTTTTATTTTTTGGTTGCCCAGAATGCAGGAAAGAGCATTTCCAGGTTTCAAATTTGGAAAACTTTCTGGAGATTATGCCCTCACACACGTGGCCTTCGGCCATTGGTATCCCCCTCTAATAAGTATAATGATAAATTAATACGGTTAATATTCATTTTTACTTTTTGTGCATTTTTTCCTTCTTTTATTTCAAATACAAGTATAGCTAGCATAAATTTTAGAGCAAATTTGGATGCTCAGAATGCAGAAAATGGCAATTCCGTGTTTCAAATTTCAAAAATTTTCTGGGGGAGTACACCCCCACACACGTGACCATTGGTATCCTCCTCTAATAAGTAATGATAAATTATGGTTATTATTTTTTTTTCTTTTCGTGGGTTTTTTCCTTCTTTTATTTCAAATACTAGTATAGTTAGTATACATTTTGGAGCGCATTTGGATGCTCAGAATGCAGGAAATGGCATTTCTGTGCTTCAAATTTCAAAAATTTTCTGGGGGAGTACACCCCCCTCATTCATGCGTGCATGGTATGTTCGGCGCACACGTGGCCTTCAGCCATTGCTATCTCCCTGTAATATATTATCTCACAGAAAGGTCCCTTTTCAAAAAATGCCCCCCCCCCACGGGAAAATCCTTAAAAAAGGCCCTGCACACCCCCGATGGGACTCGAACCCACAACCTTTGAATTAGAAGTCCAACACGCTAATCCATTGCGCCACGGGGGTTTCGCCCTCCCCCATCAGGCTATATTTTGAGTATACCAACTTTGCAGTTGTGTCGTAGGGTGAGGATAAAAGTGGATACGGGTGACAGATTAACAACTTCTACGTCCCATGCAGACTGTAACACCAGATTGGTATAATCGACATATAGGCCGAAGGCGGTGGGCGAAACCCCCGTGGCGCAATGGATTAGCACGTTGGACTTCTAATTCGAAGGTTGTGGGTTCGAGTCCCATCGGGGGTGTCTTTTATGTCGCGACAAACATATTTTACAATTTTTCTTCAAAAAACTTTTTAGTTGCCGTCACAACCAACAACGCACACCCCCGATGGGACTCGAACCCACAACCTTTGAATTAGAAGTCCAACAAGCTAATCCATTGCACCACGGGGGTTTCGCCCGCCCCCATCAGGCTATATTTTGAGTATACCAATTTTGGAATTGTGTCGTAGGGTGAGGATAAATGTGGATACGGGTGACAGATTCACAACTCCTACGTACCCATGCAGACTGTAACACCAGATTGGTATAATCGACATATAGGCCGAAGGCGGTGGACGAACCCCCGTGGCGCAATGGATTAGCGCGTTGGACTTCTAATTCAAAGGTTGTGGGTTCGAGTCCCATCGGGGGTGTCTTTTATGTTGCGACAAACATATTTTACAATTTTTCTTCAAAAAACTCTTTAGTTGCCGTCACAACCAACAACGCACACCCCCGATGGGACTCGAACCCACAACCTTTGAATTAGAAGTCCAACACGCTAATCCATTGCGCCACGGGGGTTTCGCCAGCCCCCATCAGGCTATATTTTGAGTATACCAATTTTGGAGTTGTGTCGTAGGGTGAGGATAAATGTGGATACGGGTGACAGATTCACAACTCCTACGTACCCACGCAGACTGTAACACCAGATTGGTATAATCGACATATAGGCCGACGGCGGTGGGCGAAACCCCCGTGGCGCAATGGATTAGCGCGTTGGACTTCTAATTCAAAGGTTGTGGGTTCGAGTCTCATCGGGGGTGTCTTTTATGTTGCGACAAACATATTTTACAATTTTTCTTCTAAAAACTCTTTAGTGTCCGTCACAACCAGCAACACACACCCTGACACCCCGATGGAACTCGAACCCACAACCTTTGAATTAGAAGTCCAACACGCTAATTCATTGCGCCACGGGGGTTTCGCCCGCCCCCATCAGGCTATATTTTGAGTATACCAATTTTGGAGTTGTGTCGTAGCGTGAGGATAAATGTGGATAATAATAATAATAATAATTTATTCATTTTAATAAAGCGCATATGTTATATTATATACTCGAAGTGCTGTACATTATAAAAATCTAAATATATTAAGAGTTAAATATGCTATATAAAACATTGTATTGTATACAATTAGAATATACACTAATGTATGTATCTATAATAAGAGTGATAGAATCCAATATGGTCTCAACCTATAAAGGGTTATAAGCCTTATTAAAAAGAAATGTTTTCAAGCGTTTCTTAAACACAGAAATGTTTTCACAGTTCCTGGCATCCAGAGGCAGAGAATTCCATAATTGTGGAGCAGCATGTGCGAAAGCCCGATCTCCTAGAGTCTTACAGTTTGTTTTCGGGATGTATAATAGACCTTGACCATCCGATCGTAATGTCCAGCGATCACTTGATTGTTTTGGGGTAAGCATTTCAGAGATGTAGATAGGGGCAATGTTATTAAGAGCCTTGTAAACCAGTAAAGCAATTTTGAATTCCACCCGGAATTTTACCGGTAGCCAGTGAAGTGATCTCAAAACTGGGGTGATGTGGGAAAATCTTGGACAGTGGTAGATTAATCTAGCAGCAGCATTAAGAACTCGCTGAATTCGCTGGACTTGATACTGAGGTATGCCAGCCAACAGAGCATTACAATAGTCCACGTGTGATGTCACGAAAGCATGTATCAAAGTTTTCGTTGTATTAGTAGATAAAAATTTTCTAATTTGTCGTATTTTATAAAGTCCTCTGAATGCTTTACTGCACATCTTGCCTACATGAACTGACATTGACATATGCTTGTCAGACCAAGATCCCAAGTTTCGAACACTGTCAACCGGCTTAATTTGGACCCCACCAACGTTAACGGATTCAATGTTTATTTTCAAAAGTTGTTGTGGTGTACCAATTACAAGAAATTCCGTTTTCGAATCTTTGAACATTAATTTATGAGACAACAGCCAAGTACGCACATCAGAAATACAATCTTCCAGTGCGGCTAGGGTACTTTCTGAATTATCTTCACAATCTGGGCGAAAGGATACATAGAGTTGCGTGTCATCAGCATATCAATGAGAAGAGGGTAAGTGCCTGTCAATAATGTCATATAGTTGGGATACATAAAGCAGAAAAAGTATGGGGCCAAGACAACTCCCTTGAGGCACTCCGTACTTAACATCGCAGTCTTCAGAAAAATTGTTATCCAGATCAACTCTCTGTTTCCTGTTCAATAGATATGATTTAATCCATTCAAGAGCCCTATCCGTCACTCCAAATTGATACTCCAATACGTCAATGATAGTTTTATGATCAATTGTATCGAACGCTGAACTTAAGTCCAAGAGCACAAGAAAACACACTTCCTGCCTGTCCATACTCAAAAGAATATCGCTTTGCACCTTTAGCAGAGCCGTCTCTGTCGAATGATATTTCCTGAAGCCAGATTGACAGATAGGGAGAGGTGCATGTTTTTCACAATGGTTCAGCAATTGGTTGGCGGCTGCCTTTTCAGTGATCTTAGAAAGAAATGACAGA